CAGTGGCTAAAAATGGGAAGGTTGCTAACGCACAGGGCTTCTACCAAAAGCTTTTGATCCAATTTTGGATCTTAGTGCTTGGTTCCTGCCACTGGTTTTGTACCTTGAACTTGTCGATACTATTCATGAATTGGAAGTTTTTCCAATTTTCGTTGACCATAATCAAGTCTCCTGAGCCTGGTTTTATTCTCATCTGAGTTTAAACCATTTTGGCCTTGGGATCTAACTTTAACAKAACTAATGTCGATACYTTTGGGTTTCTAACCTATTTGRYTTTTGCCCATGTTTTATACCTCAGGGTTTACTCTCGGGTTTCTAACCCACTTGGCTTTTGCCAATGGCCTTTATACCCTGAGTTTAGTCGGTACCCTTAGGTTTCTAACATATTTGGCTTCTGCCGGTTTTTTACCCCCAGTTAAATCAACACCCTCGGGTTTTTAACCTATTTTGGCTTTTGCCATATGATTTTCTACCCGTGGGTTTCGTTGATCGGTTAGGCTTGCCTGTTTTCTGTTTTAACCTTGCTGGGCCCGTACGCATGCCTTTCTCAGCACCTCGGGATTCTTTTCCCTGGTTTCACTGATTGGCTTTCAGCTTATCGGTCTGCTTCTAGGTCCGTCCCAATTTTGAGTTCCTTGATTGGTCGTAGATATGTAGATGTTCAGGTCGTAGATATGTAGATATTTATATGATGCCCCCTGCTTGAGAAATTTATTTCATAATGAACATAAGAACTCAAGTATCACGTTGAAAGTCGAATACTTTATTAGTAGAAAAATCGTCCTGTCGAAGATTTGGTTACAATAAGCTTAGTTGGTCCAAACAATGGAGAAACATAAAAATGTCCAGAAATATGTCGAACTAGTGGTAGTATCTTTTGAGGTGTTGGGCGTGCCACGGGTGTAGTAAGGCCTTCCCCCGCTGGTCTTCTAAAGCATAAGTGCCTATTCGCACCACTTTAGTGACTTTGTATGGGCCCTCCCATGTTGGCCCGAGCGCACCGCTAGTTGAATCTTTTGTATTGGGCATAACCCTTCTTAACACCAGATCACCTTCTCTAAAGTCACGTTGCTTGACCTTCGAGTTGTCGAGCTATTCGATTTTTGTATTCAGCCGTTCGTAGTCGTGCTGTTTCTCGATGTTCTTCTAATAGGTCGAGGTTGAGCTTTACGGATTCGTTGTTGTCAAGTAGAGTGAACTGCTCTACCCTTGGGGAGGGGAGTCCGATCTCGACTGGCACTACCGCCTCAGAGCCAAATGATAATGAAAATGGCGTTTCTCCTGTCGAAGTACAAGGTGTCGTTCTGTATGCCCATAATGCGTTGGGAAGTTCCTCTGCCCACAACCCTTTGAGCTTTTCTAATCTGGTCTTCAGAGTTCTTTTGATAATTTTGTTGACTGCTTCAATCTGCCCATTAGCCTGCGGATGTGCTGGCGAGGAACAGGTGTGCTTAATGCCCAACTCCCTGCAAAATTCTCGAAAGGCAGCATTGTCGAACTGCTTCCCATTATCACTGATAATGGCGTAGGGTATTCCGAAGCGGCAAATTATGTTCTTCCAGATGAAGTCGGTGACCTTTTTCTCTGTAATTGTCGCTAGGGCTTTGGCTTCGGCCCACTTAGTAAAATAGTCGACTGCCACTACTGCAAATTTGGTCTGGCCCTTTCCTAGTGGGAGAGRYCCTATAAGGTCTATTCCCCACTGAGCAAARGGCCAAGGACTCATTATGCTTGTCAGAGGCTCTGGCGGTTGTCTAGGTACGGTTGCAAACCGTTGGCATTTGTCGCATTTTTTGGTGAATTGCTTCGTGTCATTCAGCATGGTCGGCCAGTAGTACCCTTGTCGAATTATTTTGTGACGTAGGGATCGTGCTCCAGAATGGCTCCCACAAACACCCTCATGTATCTCTCTCATGACGTAGTCGGCTTCATCRGGCGTTAGACATTTTAAAAGCGGCAACGAGTAGCCTCTTTTGTACARATTGTCGTCTTTAAGCACATATCTGGYCGCTCGTCGTTGTAGCTGYTGGGCCTCTATCTTTTCAGTAGGCAGGATCCCATCTTTCAAATATTTGATYAAAGGGCTCTTCCAGTTTTCTTCTGGTTGCCCTTGATTGTCGATATCCATGGCTTCCTGAGCTTYTATGCTTGGCTCGGGTAGAATCTCGACCGGTACAGTTCTGCCTAAGTCGGTTTCATAAGCCGCAGCTAGTCGAGCTAACGCATCKGCGTTGACGTTTTRAGCACGTGGAATTTGTCGAATCTCRTATTTTGAGAACTGGTCGAGCTGGTTTCTTACCTGTGAAAGGTATTTCGCCATTCGCGGTTCTCTAGCCTGGAACTCCTCTTTCACCTGACCCACAATCAGCTGTGAATCACTRAGTATTMGTATGTTCCTGAYCCCAACGTACCTGGCCACTTTTAGTYCTGCTAGTAGAGCTTCGTACTCGGCTTCGTTGTTGGATGCATGAAAGTTGAATCGCAGCGCATATTCGAATCTTTCTTTATCTGGAGAGATTAGTAGGAGTCCTGCCCCACATCCCCGAAAATTTGAGGACCCATTTACGTAGAGTGTCCAGAGTTGTTCTTCCTCAACCACTTGTGGGTCGATACTATATACTTGAGGCTCTGTTGGTGTTAATTCCGCTATGAAGTCTGCCACAACCTGCCMTTTCATGGCAGTTCTTGGCTTATAGTGAATGTCGTACTCGCTGAGCTCTACAGCCCACTTTACCAGTCGTCCAGAAGTGTCTGGTTTTTTAAGATCTGTCGTAAGGGAAAGTTGGTGAGGACCATTATTTTGTGAGCTTGGAAATACGGGCGTAGTCTCCGAGCTGAAGTGACCAGTGCCAATGCCATCTTCTCCATTGGTGGGTATCTAAGTTCTGCATCTACCATTGCTTTGCTTGTGTAGTAAATTGGGGATTGTCGTCCATCTTCTTCCTTTATTAACGCGGAACTCACCGCAGTGCTGGATACAGCTAAGTATAAGTAGAGCTCATCACCCACGATCGGCTTTGCGAGGAGTGGAGCTGCCCCTAGGTACTGTTTYAGCTCCTTAARGGCAGYCTCGCACTCTTCCGTCCATTCAAATTGTCCTTTCTTCCTTAAGATTTTGAAGAATGGTAGGCACTTGTCAGTGGAACGGCTAACGAATCTGTTGAGTGCTGCTATCCTTCCATTGAGTCCCTGCAGCTGCTTTAGAGTTTTAGGTGGATCCATCTCCAGAACAGCTTTGWTCTTATCTGGATTGGCTTCGATTCCCCTTTGGTGCACTAAAAATCCCAGGAACTTGCCTGAGGTCACTCCARACGTGCATTTGGTGGGATTCAACKTCATCTTGTACTTTCGCAAGATGTCRAACGCTTCTGCCAAATCCTCYTMGTGTCG